CAATTTTCTTACTAACTGCTTTTGTAAAGGCCAGGGCACACGATTGATTAAAACCTTTCCTCCATCAATTTTCTGGCCTTTCCCTCCCCAACACCCCCACCCCACTCAACCCTTTGCACTGTTCTCCCATGTAATCCCAGACGTGCACCCGTTGAATTTTCTTCAAAAGTAATTTCCAAACTTGCTTGCGTAATAGCCCCAGTGGGCTGAGATTATTCTTTCGTCCAGCAGGGGGCAGTGCTGCATTCCTTCATGCAGTGGTGATCTGTCTACAAGCAGGATAGATCTCCCCAAACAGAACATAATTGAGCTACCATGCACACAGCCGCACGTACCCAGGGATACAAGTCTACTGGTGTGCCAATGAAACTTGCTCTGGTTGGCCTGAATATCCTTTGGCCTCGACTACCCCTCGGGTTCCCTATGACTCAGTGGAAAGGACACGGTGTTACTATAGGCACCCGAGATGCATTCCCAGCGACAGGCAAAACTGTCATTGTAAATGCTCTGCAGGAAAATGAGGTACGGATTGGATACGATAGAGCCAGGATGCAGCACTTCAGAATCTGTCTCCCCCTCCTCCCGCCCCCCACCCCCAAACCTGGCATCTGCCAGTTGCCTTCAACTCCCACGATGCCTAGAGAAGTTGAGATTCCCACAAATTGAAATCTGAAACATCTTGGATTGAATAAAAGGCGATATCCATTCTGTCTCTGAAGGCTCTTCCGGGTATAAAACACCCCGCAGCAGGGGTGAAATTTACTTACCTTCCCTACCGGTTCACCAATGTGTGCGCGCTGCACTCACGCGCACCGTCGTCTGTGCATGCACAAACCTTCTGTGCATGCGCAGAGACTTAAAATGTCACAAAAAAGCGACGTCATGACATCCGTGCGGGTGGGCGGAGCCTCCCGCAGCCGCCACTAGCAGTTTGCCCGAGCCGGATAGAACCGGTTGGATTTCACCCCTGCCCCACAGACAGATAACTAATAAAACCTGGAGGATGGTTACACCCTGAAACCTTTGGCTTGGTTTGATGAACGTTTTTGACAGGGAAGTTATTTAAAAAAAAAAAAAAAACTTCAGAAAGGCAATCAGTCCTTCGCTGAAACAAGTGTACAGGTAGTCCTCAACTTACGACCACAATTGAGCCCAAAATTTATGTTGCTAAGTGAGACATTTGTTAAGTGAGTTTAGTCCCATTTCACGACTTTTTCTTGCCACCTTTGTTAAATGAATTGTTGCAGTTGTTAAATTAGTAACCTGGTTGTTAAGTGAACCTGGCTTCCCCCATTGACTTTGCTTTGCAGAAGGTCACAAAAGGAGATCTCATGACTCTGGCATGATGCAGCCGTCATAAATATGAGGCAGTTGCCCAGTTGCCTGAATTTTGATCATGTGACCATAGAGATGCTGAAACAGTTGTAAGTGTGAAAAATGGTTATATAACTCATTTTTTTAGGAATGGAATGGAATGGAGTAGAGTAGAATAGAGTGGAGTGGAGTGGAGTGGAATGGAATGGAGTAGAGTAGAAATAGAATAGAATAGAATAGAATAGAATAGAATAGAATAGAATAGAATGAGCTGGAAGGGACCTTTGAGGTCTTCTAGTCCAACCCCCTGCTCAAGCAGGAGAATCTATACAATCTCAGACAAGTGACTGTCCAGTTCTCTTCTTAAAAACCTCCAGTGATGGAGCACCCACAACTTCTGAAGGCAAGATGTTCCACTGGTGCATTGTCCTTACTGTTAGGAAGTTCCTCCTTAATTCCAAGCAAATCCTTAATTTTCTTGCCATTGTAACTTCAAACGGTCACTAAACCAACTGTTGTAAGTTGAGGACTGCCTGTACTTAATTTTTGCATTTCTGCCACTTTATGCTGGTCTCAAACTTACAATTTTGCTGTGCATTTTGAGATGGAGATGGAAGAAGGAGGCAAGCCACCCACCCCTCCCCTTTCTCTCTGCACGTTTCTTTCATCATTTCCATTTCCCCATCCATCTTTCTTCTGTTTCCTTCTCACTACAAACTTATATAGTGCCTTAAAATGATTTACAACCTCGACTTAACATCCACAACACAGCATTTCTGCTGTTAAAGTGAGACATTTCTTCAATTTGGCCCATGTTACAACCTTTTTGGCCACAGTTGTGGAGTGAATAATAACCACAGTTGCGTTAAGTTAGTAACCAGGTTGTTAAGTGAATCTGGCTTCCCCATTGATTTTGCCTCCTCAGAAGTTCGCAAAAGGGGATCACGTGGCCTTGCGACACAGGAATGGTCATAAGTATGAACCAGTTGCCAAGCATCTGAATTTTGATCACATGATCATGGAGAATGCTACAAAGGTCTTAAGTGTGAAAAACGGTCATAAGTCACTTTTTTCAGTGCTGTTGTAACTTTGAACAGTCAGTAAATGAACTGTTGTAAATCGAGGACTACCTGTAGTGATGGATTAATAAGCAAGTTTTATTAGTGAGGGGGAGATCTGAATACCGTCTTGTTCAACCAGCAAGAACCCTGCAGCCTAACCCCTCGAGATGCACCAGGCAGGGGAAAACTTTCTGCACTTCCTTGAACACAAAACAATAGTTAAACTATGGCTATGATAAGATAAGATACTTGCATTTCCATTCTCTGCTTACAAATTGCTTATTAATTACTGGAAAGTATTTGTGTACTGCTTATTGGGTTTGAATTATAGTTTGAACTATAATTAAATATATAAAGCAAGGACCTTTGTCTATATTAAAATATACAAGGCCATGGCCTTGTATATGTCTGCTATAAAGTATCCAATGCCAACATCAATAAAACTCTTTTCTGGGTGCCTCTTAAATGTATGAAGTTTGATACAAGCTTTAGAAGAAGAATAAAATTCTAATGGCTGCAACTGAAGAAAAATCCTTCTTTCTGGTTGGTTGGTTGGTTGGTTGGTTGGTTCGTTGGTTGGTTGGTTGGTTGGTTGGTTATATGCTACCAAGTTGGGGGCAGATCTTAGGGACCACATAGATTTTCTCTATGATAATCTGTTCCTGTCCTGGTGTCCAACCTCAAATTGTTTGAAGCCAGGGGTGGTATTCACTTACCTTCGCTACCGGTTCGCAAATGTGAGCGCACGTGTGCCTCTGCGCAGAGGGTCAAAAACGGGATGTGATGAAGTCCGGGTGGGTGGGTGGAGCCTCCCGCAGCCGCCGCTACTGGTTCGCCCGAATTGGATAGAACCGGCTTCAACCACCACTGGTTGAAGCCATATTAATATACTACAATCATAAACTTAACCTGGTAGAAATTAGGGGAAGAGCAACACTTTTAGCAAGGTTGTTATACAGCAATGAATTTTAAAACAGTTATAGTTTCCAGTTGATGAATAAGAGCGTAGATCAGAGGTGGGCAATTAATTTTCCCAAGGGGCCATGTGAGAAACTGGAACTGTTAATGGAGGGCCAAACCAATAGGGCTGTGAAGGTGCATAGGCATGCATGCACATGCGAGCAAATTATATAGTGTAGTTGAGCAATGAGGTTACTATGACTTAAGCTGCGGCTAAACTATTTTGATGGAGAAATGGCTCTAGCTGGCCTACCAAAGCAAAAGAGTAAGAAAATATTCAGGATTAGTTCCTTGTATCCAAATTGGCTTTAGGTACACCAAGCAGCTGCTTACTTTTTCTTTGTAGTTGAAAGAAGGCACAAGTAAGCGTGAGGTGTGATGCGTAGTATAACAGAATAACAGAGTTGGAAGTAACCTTGGATGTCTTTTAGTCCAATCCCCTGCTCAGGCAGGAAACCCGATACCATTTCAGACAAACGGTTGTCCAATCTCTTCTTAAAAACTTCCAGTTTGGAGCATTCACAACTTCTGGAGGCAAGTGGTTCCACTGATTAATTATTCTAAATGTCATGACATTTCTTCTTAGTTCTAGGTTGGTTCTCTCCTTGATTAGTTTCCACCCATTGCTTCTTGTCCTACCCTCAGGTGCTTTGGAGAATAGGTTGATTCCTTCTTCTTTGTGGCAGCCCCTGAGATGTTGGAACACTGCTATCATGTCATTCTTCTTTTCATCACACTAGACATACAGTATCCAATCCCTGCAACCGTTCTTCATATGTTTTAGCCTCCAGTTCCCTAATCATCTTTTTTTCTCTTCTCTGCACTCTTTTTAGAGTCTCAACATCTTTTTTATATTGTGGCGACCAAAACTGGATGCAGTATTCCAAGTGTGGCCTTACCAAGTCATCACAGAGAGGTAGGGTTACATTTCTTGTTATTCTGTGCCGATTTATAGAATGTTAGCAAGCCCCACCCCACACCTTCCCTGGTTCCATAGTCAGAATTCTGAATGGGTTATGACCCATCCTGTAAAATTGTACTTTCCCCAAAAGTTTTGTCCCCAGCAGTCAGGAATCATATGCATCAGAATCAGCCACTTTGTGGAAGAACAAGAGAAAACGTTGCTCCTTTTCTATCAAGCATGTTTGTTTTTTTTTTGGTGGACTAGAAGCTTGCAGGTCTATTTTCAAAGCTGCCATAACATCTTGAACTCAAATAACGTATTTTAATTACAACTTTCTAGGGACTGAGATTCGCATTAGTTGCTCTCGAGTCGTTGTACCTTTTGGAAATGGTTAAAGTGGGAGTAACCAATATTGCATCTTCTTTTTTCCCCCCCTCCTACTAATATTTATAGACATCGGTTAATTGCCAATGGGGGACTCAAAGGGGTTTTTCACCAAGATTGGTTCTGCAACCTGGAAATTAACAGGCAGTGTCAACTTTGGGTGAAACCATTCAGAAATCTTCTCCAAAACAAAGTACAGGGAGGGTGAGGTGGTTCTTGAAATGGTGAGAAAGCAAAGCAAACCCAGCTTACCATGCCTTCCCCCCTCACTTCTGTGATAAGACTACAACTCCCATGGCCCCTTGAGTGGGAGGGAGCATGCTCAGCCTCTCGGCTCTGCTCCCCCTCCCTGCCTTTTCTCTCTCTCTCTCTCTCTCTCCCTCTCTCTCTTTCCTGCATTCTCCCACCCTGCCTTGCTGCATCAGCACCAACCTTTCTTCATCCTTAAGAGCACTGTTCTTTTCCCAGCTTGGCTGAGCCGGGAAGCCAAGTTTATCCATCACTGCAAGCCCCAGCAACCCTCCCCTCTCCCTTCTCCCCCTCCACCTCAAAGAAGAGGGGTCCTTCCCCACCGCCAGTGTCTGCCTGCCTGCCTGCCGTGCCCCAGGGTCCGTGGGGGAAGAAGAGCCCACTGACTACCCACAGGAATCGCAATGAAGGACCGCACTCAGGAGTTGAGAAGTGTAAGATGCAATTCCATTCCCCCCCCCACCTCATGCCTAGTGGGAGCAGGGTGGTGGGGTGGGTTTCTGGCTCTTATCTCCCCCCCCCTCCTCCCCGTACCAAGATGGAAATGGGGGGGGGTGCTAGTATAGCTTCCAAGAGATGTCTCATCCCCTCCCCCAATACTCAAAAGGAATCCTCCCATTGAACCTTCCATAAGAGTTGAGGATTTTGGGGAGAAGGGACCACTCGGTACCACTATGGTGAGGGGAAGGAGAAACAAACGCTCCGGGGAGTTCAACAGAAGCAGAAGTCTGCTTGGCATCTGTGGGTGAAGACAGATTTCCAGCAGAGGGGGGAGGGGAAGGGAAGACACGGCCTGGGGATGGGGGGGGGGATCATCTCGTAGGCAGCAGAGGGAAGGTAGCGAGCGGGTGGCATTTCTGCAGAGAGATCTCCAAAGGGAAGAACGTGGATCCTTGTATATAGATCCTCCAGAAAACATCCCCGGCTGCCTCTTTCTGCAGATCTGATTTCTTTTCTCGGAAGTCAGAGGGGCGAAGTAGCTCTTTTGAAAAAAAATGCCACTTCAAACCTATAAATGTCTTGCGGGGGGGGTGGAGGGTTGGGGGGGAGGCAGTCCAAGGGTATACAGCTAATTTTTTTTTTTATAGGTCATGCCATGTCTCTCTCTCTCCTTCCTCCCCAAGGGAGGGGGATGGAATAGGAATGAGAAACCCTTCCCCCCCCCAGGAAGTCTGGGGAGGAAAATAACTTTCTCTTTCTTTGCCCCCCCTCCTCTCCCCCCCCCCACATCATCTTGCTGGGGAGAAGACTGAGGCATCCTCTGCTCCTCCCCCCTTCCTGCTCCCCCCAGGCTGAAGGTTGAATCCAATTGGCAGCGATAGGTGAGCTTCTTAAAGAGACTCTTTCGAAGTGGCTGGTCTCCATCCTGGTCCCTTCAAGTGCCATTTTCCGACTAGTGTGGCTGGAGGGCTCGTTGATACACCGGAAAGGACAGCCCTGCCCTCAGATTATGAGACCAACCTCGTCTATGTGAACACCCCCACCTCCCCCTACTGCCTTACCCTGCTTCCTCCCACCACCCGATCACCTATTTTCAGGTTGGCTGCAAGAGGATTGCAGTGTGCAATTTAAGGCAGAAGAAGATAGCTAGCAAATCCGTTGGCTTGGTTCTCTCTTCTGCCTCCAGCAGTGAGGGAGCAGATAGAGTGATTCCTCTGAGATATTGCAGTCTGGGTTTTAAAGTAATACAACCTGGGAGTTAAGGAAAGGAAAGGAAAGGAAAGGAAAGGAAAGGAAAGGAAAGGAAAGGAAAGAAGGAAAGGAAAGGAAAGGAAAGGAAAGGAAAGGAAAGGAAAGGAAAGGAAAGGTGTGTGATCAGGGTGATTGAGAAGAATCTACTCTCTTCATTTGATCTCCCACTGAGACGGTTAGAGATCTGGGGGGAAAAATACAGCGGAACCTGTCCTTTCATTTGCTCTGTTCCCAACCCCTGAACATCAAAAGAAACTCTCCATCATCTGCTGCACCCCAAATTGAGATATTTTTGGTAGTGATATATTCTGATCTCCTTAAGCTCAGTTTAACTGTCTGGGGGGGGGGGGTTGTTTCTCATTTTCTTTCCTTTCCTTTTGTAATTTGAAAAAAATGTGGGGTTTTTTTTTGGTCTGGGGGAATGCGTGCGAAGAAGAGAGAATGTACATTTTTAACCGTCTCTGCAGATCTGTTTGCAGGAAATTTAGAATTTGGTATATTTCCCCCTCCATTATGTTTCTTTGCTTTTAAAAATCTATCTATTCCTCCCCCCCAAAAAAAAGGTAATTAGGAAGGTAAAGCCTCTTCCAAATATTTTGTTTTGTGTTTGGGGAGTAAGGGAGACTGTGTGGGTCGTCCCACTGAGTTAAGGTTTGAAAAAGTGAGAGAGAGAGAAAGAAAGGAAGGGACTGAATTGAATTGAGAAATAGTTCAGCTGCAACTCCTGTGGCATGATATTTTTTTCCCTTACCCACACGGATGGGTCAAAATCTTTCCTCCACTTTGTTCCCCTTTTTACTTTTCCCTTCCCCTCCCCCACTCTAAATTTGTGCTAATCTCATGAGTGAAGGAGAGGGAGGCGCACACATCCATTCGTACAGCAGTCAGACAGACACCGAAAGAGATGTTTAATAATCACCGTGCCACATGCTTTTGTGTTCTGCAGAGGCAGGAGAGAGAGCACACTTTCCCACCCGCATTTCTTGTGTCTTGTTTAAACAATGGGGGGTAAAGGAAAAAGAAAGAAAAGAAAAGAAAGAAAGGAAAATTCAGGGCAGATGCTGCAACAATAAAAGAATCGTGGTGACTAATGGGTGTATGTGTGTGTGTGGAGAGTGGAGACACACACATATACACACATATCTTATGTACGACTCCTCCCTCTCCTTTATCCCGCTTCTTTATTCTGTTTAGATTACAAAAAAAAAATGTTGATGTGCGTGTAAAGGGCTCCAGTTCTAGGAATCTCTTTGGGGAGGGGTGGATGCTCTTCTGTGGGGCAACGGGGCACATGCCCCACTTCACATTAGCTGTGGGTAGCTAGAAGAGGAAGAGAAAAGCTGCCCTCCCTCCCTCCCCCCCCCCGCCCCATTCCTCAAATACATCTCTCTCTGTCTTTGCCAGCCAGTGAAGAATAGGTCCCTTTTGGCTGGGCGAGAGGAAATGGGAGATTTGCTTTATCGTTGGTGCATTGTGCGTTGTGCAGTGGGGAGGTGATGATGGAGGAGATGGGTTTTGCTGCAGGAGCCAAAGGCTTGTGTGCATGAGTGTGTGTGTGTGTGTATGTGTGTGTGTGTGTGTCTCCCTTCCATTCCACCCCCACCACCCTCCAACACTTCGTGTTAATACTGTTGGCAGTCAAATGCAGTGGGAGAGAAAGTATGCCAAAATACACAGAGACAGGAGACATGGGGAGTGGGAGAGAGGTTGCTCAAAGTGTGTGTATTGGCAAACAAGAGGATGCAATCTCCCGAGATCTTATGGTGGTGGGGCACGGGGCATTGGAAGTGTGGGGGTGAGGAGGAGATCCATAGCCTCCCCCCCTCAACCAGTCAGAGAGTTTGAGTTTGTAGAAGTCTGAATATTTTGAGACACTAGAAAGGTGCTTGCAGACTTCCTAGTTTTTTTTTAATTCCTCACTCTGCTCTTCGGATCCTCACAAGATGATAATGTTCCAAACAGAAGAAATTAGCTGGGTCTGCAAAGTTCTCCTTTCCCTAAAAGGACCCCAGTCTGTAAAATCCAACTTGACTTTTGTTTTTTTATTTTCCTTGTCTGCTTTGTTGCTGTACCAGAAAGTAGCAAGACAAGAGCTCTTAAATGCTTCTGAAAGACTTTCAACTTTGGGCTCTGTTATGTCTCTTAGGAAAAGTAAGCCCACAGAAATGGGGCAGCCACAGGTTTATTTTCATAGGTGCCCTTGCAGTGGGTCAGACGTGGCCCTGCTCTCCCTTCCCACCCTCCAGCAACCCCAGAAATGACTTTCTCTGCCACTGATTCCCTCGAGGCCAATAGAACAGAACACCACACGCAGTTCTCTGGGCCCAAGCTATTTATGGGTCCAAAGCTATTTGTTAACAATGTTCATGAGACCTTCTCCCCAAGGTGCACCATCTGCCTTGAATGAACACACCTGAGACAACCGCATTTGGGACCTGAAATGTGAGGAGCAAGCCCAGGGTGTGGGGGAGAATCAGGTGGCAGGTGAAGAACAAGATGAGGTGGGTTTTTTTGGGGGGGGGAAGGTCTTCAGGAAGGACTTGAAGGTGGGGTGTTAGTGTCTGATGTGGCACAAAGCTCACAGAGAAGGCAATGTGGAGGAAGGAGGCCAACTGGATGGGCTTGACTGGATGGGCTTGGGCGATGGAGAAGAATCTGAAGGGCGTGAGAAGACAGGTGGGAAAAGGTGGAGTTGAAGTCAAATGACATGTGCAATATGCATGCTTTTCTTCTCTTCGTAAATGGTTGTCTGTGGAGTTTTATTGTCATTTTCGATGCATACCATTCTCTTGTGGCTGGGAAAGCTCCTCGCTCAGAGGAACCGTCCAAATATAAACATCAGGCTCAGTAAAAAAACAAAAAAAAAACATTGCTATCCCAGCATCTGTAATAAATCCAGATGTATGACGATACTTTTAGATCAAACTAACGAAAGAGATTAGGGGTTTTGCCTTGGAACTGTCAGAAGCGCATGTGAGATTTTTCAGGAGGCCACAAAGTTGATGGGACTGCCAGCAAGACCGTGTTCTCAGCACCTTCCAAATCTCATTTGACAGGAATGCTCGGGGCAAGATCTTGGAGGTTAAAGGAAATATTTTCTTGGACACAAAGAGAGGAAGCCCTTGAGGCCTTAAGGAACAGACCTAACAATGAGAACTGAGCTTAGGAGCAAACAGATAGCCAGCACTGATTTAGACAGAGGAAATATGGGCTCCAACTGGCCACCTTCAGCCACTAATATGGTGGTAGACTTTTTTTTTTTTAAGCAACCCTGATGATATACCGGTAGTTTGGATGCACTCAGGTACGAATGGCATCTGACTTACTTGGCCACCAACTGCAGCTGGTGATGAGCAATCCAGGTCCCTCCCGTCTGTTTTGTTTCATATCCTACTTAATGGTTCCAAACATTTAGAATAAGTAGCTTGAAAGAGCCATGAGTATGACAAGAGAAAGCAAGAAGAGATTGGTATGGAATAAAAGATAGTGGCACCCAAAAGAAGGAATAGTTAAAATTGCAGCCATCTCTCTAGTTGACCAAGAGTTTTAGGTCAATCAGAATAGAGCTGGAAGGGACCTTTGAGATCTTCTAGTCCAACCCCCTGCTCAAGCAGGAGATACTATACCATTTCAGATAGGTGGTTGTCCAGTCTCTTCTTAAAAACCTCCAGTGATGGAGCACCCACAACTTCTGGAGGCAAGCTGTTCCACTGGTTAATTGTCCTCACTGTTAGGAAGTTTC